GGGGGGTTTGACCGTCTCACATATTAAGGTCCTCTGGCCTTCCCAGTGTAGCAGTGCTGCAGAGGATAAACTGTGTCAGGGCATCGTATTTCATTTCAGCCTTGGCTGTCCTTAAAGGCTGGCCCTTGGTGTGATACTGAAGACATTATCAAGAGAATGTGTGGGATCTTTTTTTTCAGTGGTTGGCACACATCATGCACCTTCCTTTACTTGTTCTTTCCTCTTTATTATCTCAAAGGTGCAAAAATGGAAGAAGATATTGCAGTCCTGTGCTGAAAGAGGATTTGTTGCTGAAAATATTTAGGACTATCCTAACATACTGCTGAGGGAAATAGTATTTCCATATAATCACACTATCTGTTGCTTTGCTGTCTCCTAAATTTCATTTGAAGCCATGGATTAAAGCATGTAACTTTAAAGAAAATTCTCTGCTGGCACAGCAGTTAAGTTATCAAATAGCGTTTGAAATGTGCAACATTTATAGGTACAGTGCAGGAGCCGATGCCTTTTACTTTTAAAGAGCATACATGTTAGAAGTGTAATTGCCTCTAGTAGGTAATAGTTTGCGGAAAGGCATAGTGAGAAGGTTGCAGAATCTTACAAGACTGTGAACCCCAGTTTTTATTGGTTGCTTGAGGCATATCTTTTGTTTTACCTCCTGTGTAGAAATTTGTCTGACAGTTGTTGTACTCGTGTGACGTATAATACGGCGCCTGCCTTAGGGCTGGGAGTGAGCCACGGTGCTGCTACTGCTTTTTAAACCTCTATATGTACTGGAAGACTGAAAATGTAGGGCAGGCGTTGGTTGCCATCTAGGAGATCTGTGATCGCTCGGAGAAGGGCATACATTTTTACTATTATTATTCGATTTTAATTGCAGAACATAACAGATTCATTTCACAATACTAATAGAACATCATAGATCCATTCTACTGTCGTTGATGGAATATTTGATGTCTCCTTTCTTTGGGAGTACACTTCTGGCAAGTTAATTAAATGTTCTTAGTTATCGAAACTTATCTGCAAATAGTAATTAATATGAAGTAATATAATTGGTTTTGATCAGGGCCGGGCAGAGGCACTTTGCTGCCTGGGTCAAAGATGTCACTCCTTCAATTGACCAAGCTGATGGCTGGGGAAAAAGAGAGAGGAGAAAAGAGAGAACTTGAGAGTAGAAGAGTATATAGTTCAGGAAAAGAAAAGTCAGGTAGCTTTCCCACTCTGATGTTGGGAAAAAAAAATTAAAATACCAATAAGGGCTACCCTAAGAGGGTTTTCAAGGTCTATGAGATATTTAAGGTGTGGTTTTACCTATGCCACCCCACCACCCTGTGAGTTCCCATGGGTGGACAGGGATTTGGAACAGGTCTTCTGAGTCCTCGTTCATCACTCTGTCCACTACGCCACACTGGCCTCAAAACCTTTATTAAGAATATCATTTTTACTAGAGATCGGGGTATTCATATTCAAATACAAATATCCCTGTGCAGCTGGAGTCCGACCCCTGGGGCTGAACTGTTCACTCACGCGTCCGACAGCAGCGGCGGTCTCACATCCTTCCAATCACTTCTGGAACCTCGCTCTCTTCCTGCTCAGCTAGCGACTCGGCAGTCATGCAGGGAGACTTGTTCTCTCTCCCCTTGTCGGGACTGGCTAGCCGAGCAGGAAGAGAGCGGGGCTCCAGAAGTGATTGGAAGGATGAGTGAGGCTGCCGCTGCCACCAGACATGTGAGTGGATGGTCTGGCCCCAGGGGCGGGCCTTCATTAACTCCAGCTGTGCGGGAATATTCAAATAGGAATACTTCCATCTCTAATTTTTACCTTTATTAACTTCCAGAAAAGCTTTTGAGGTCTCAGGTTCTTCCCTGCACTTCCTTAGTGAATTAGAGATGAGTCCAAGAGGCTGGAAAGGCCTCTATACCTTGTTTTACCCTCCCAATCTCCTTTTCTCATTACTTTCTCTCTCTTACTGCATTGTTCCAGTATTATAGTTCAGAATGCAAAGTGGAACCAGACCAGCGGGGTCTGGTGGTGGTGGTGGTGGTGATGTCACCATTGTTAATCCTAGTGCTCACATGTATCTTCTCTGCTGGTCAGTGGTGGGGTGGAAATTTTGTTTTGTGCCATCAAGTTGCCTATGAATGAGTGGCTTCCATCTAATGATGAAGATGGGGCAGCAAATTTGCTTCTGGTGGTCATCTGGCACCTGAACTGGCTGCCTTACTTTGCCTAATTGAAATACCAGTTCTGGTTTTCAATGTCCTGCTGAGTTCCTTTACGTATCTTTAATATGCTGTCAATTCTACCAGACAAATTGTCCCCATTGTTATATACAGTCATTCTTTCTGTTCTTGTTTCAGTCTGTATTTCTTTTTTTAACATGTTAGACTCACAGTAGCAGCTCAGAATTAAATACAGAATAGGTTCCTGGAAATATACTGGTGAGAAATATAGGTGAGAGCCAAACACACACAAATATACAGTGGTGCCTTGCTTAACGACGATAATCCGTTCCAGGAAAATCGCTGTCAAGCGAAAACGTCGTAAAGCGAAATTAAAAAACCCTTTGAAAAGCATTGAAAGCCGTTCAATGCATTCCAGTGGGCTAAAAACTCACTGTCCAGCGAAGATCCTCCATACGGCGGCCATTTTCAGTGCCTGTATAGCGAGGAATCCGTCCCTAAGCACAGCAGGGAGCCATTTTAAGCACCTGGTAGCCATTTTGAAAACCTGACGATCAGCTGTTTTGATTGTTGTAAAGCGAACATTGGTTCCAGAAGCAGGGAACTGATCATCGCTAAGCGAAATTCCCCCATTTAGACCACTGGTTCTTAACCTTGGGTTACTCAGGAGTTTTGGACTGCAACTCCCAGAATCCTTCACCACCAACTGCTGGCTGGGGTTTCTGGGAGTTGCAGTTCAAAAACATCTGAATACTGAAGGTTAAGAACCACTGATTTAGACCATCATTCTGCGATTGCAATTGCGATCACAAAAACATCGTTGTAAAGCAGATTCGTCGTAATGCGGGGTAATCGTTAAGTGGGGCACAACTGTATAGGAATTGTTACATTTGTAAAATATAGAGGGCATAGTTAGTATTCTGAACTAACAATTGTTTTGAACAGTTCATTGGTGGGTTTAATATGTTTTTTTGTTATGACATTAAACGTAGCATACCACCTAGAATACTTTACTATTTTTTTGTACAATAGAAGTGATTTGTACCAGTAGCTTTTAATTTATATATTGTGTCCCCCTTTTCATGTAAGCTTTATAGCACTTTAGTGACTCATTAAACCTGCTTCATTTGTTAATCTAGGTAACTGGCATTGTGGAACTTCACCATTTACTCCAAGATGGCAGGCCTTGTGTCTCAAAGTTTGGTAACATATGTGGAAGAAGAAAATGTTCCTGCTTTGAAAGCACTTCTTGAGAAATGCAAAGATGTAGATGAGCGGAATGAGGTAAGATAGATCGCAAAAAATTATTTTGAAAATATGGCATCACTTTAAAAAAGAAAATCTTGAAGTTTCAGTGGGGAAAAATGTAAAATGTTGCAGTTAGCCAGGGAAAAAAATCAGATGTGCAAATATAGGATGGGTAATGGAGCTAGCTCAGTGGTTAAGGTATCTGGCTGTGGAGTCAGAGGTTGGGAGTTTGATTTCCCCTGCAAAGTAGAGCCAGCCTGTGTGGCTTTGAGGAAGCTGTACAGTTCCAGGGTACCCATAGAAGAAGGGAATGGTAAACCATTGATGGCACATGATTATTTATTGTTATTAACAGCTGTCTTGGTAGAGGTACATGTGGAAAGGTTCTAGTAGTCTTTGTGGATCACAAGCTAAATCTGGGCTGATAGTTTGATGCAGTCAGCAGCAGGAAGAGGGGGGGAAAGTGAATGCTCTGCCAGGTGCGTTAACAAAAATGCAGTGTCAGGATCTCAGGAAGTAATATTACCATTCTGTTCTGCTTTGGTCAGGCATTACCTAGAGTACTAGGTTCAGTTCTGGGCGCCACAGTTGAGGAAGGATATTGAAAAACTGTACTGTGTTCAGAGAAGGGCAAACAGAATAGTAAAGAATGTGGAAACCAAACCCTATGGATAAAAGGTCAAGGGAGTTTAGACATTTAGCCTGGAGAAGAAAAGACTGAGATGCCATATGATAGTCATCTTCAAGTATTTGAAGGACTGTCATGTGGAAGATGGAGCAGGCTTGTTTTTTTGGGGTGGGGGTGGGGTTGGCAGTCCAGGAGGATAGGGACCAGAAGTAATGGTTTTAGGTTACAAGAGAGGAGGTTTTGACTAAGAGGAAGACCTTGCTAACAGTGAGAACTATTCAATACTGGAATTTACTGCCTTGGTGGAGAACGGGGTAGAATCCTCTTCCCTGGAGATTTTTAAAGTGAGGCTGATGGCCACCTATCAGCAATGCTGTACTTGTGGATTTCTTGTACTAACAGGGTGTACTCAATGATCCTTGGAGTCTTTTCTAACTCTATAATTTAATGATTCCAAGGCAAAGCCAAAACCAAAGCATTGTGGCGCACTGAACTCTAGCAGTTTTGTTTCAGCCCTTTCTCAAACACAAGGAAGCGGGCTGTGACCCATCTAAACTAACTGAGAGGTCTTCAGATTTTCACACTAATTTGGTGTTCTGATGTTAAGATGATTTTGTTACTTATACTGAAATAGTCTAACCTGACTACCTCTTTGGAAGAAACTTAAACAGAGTTTTGAGGGATTCAACCAAGGACCAGTGGATTTCTGTTTTCACAGCAGGGAACCCAGTGCCTGGGGGAAGCCCCCAAACAAGTCACAGGTGCAAGAGCACCCTGGTGGTTGTATTCGCTAGCCACTGGTCTCAACAGCCATAGTGCCTCTCTCATGCTGGATATGATTATGAAAGTTTCAAGCACTTGTTCGTGGAAAACTGCTCCTCTTGGAACTGATTTTGAAATAATCATATGAAGGATCTTGCTAGAAAATTTGTTAAGTGTGGTACTTTCTTACAGAATCATTCTATAAATGTCTTCTCAGAGATAAGCTTCATTGGTTGACTTCAGTGCCACTTACTTCCAGACAGGTTTGTCTGGGAGTTTATACAAATTTAGCAAATTACATCAGAAAGTACAGCTTAATTTGGTTTAATTTGTTTTCTTAACCTTCATGATTTTGGTTTTGTGCTTGGTTTCCATTATGAAATACAAAACTACAGTGGTGCCTCACAAAACAAATGCCTCGCAGGACAAAAAACTCACAAGACAAATGGTTTTGGTAATGGGGGTTGATGACTCGCAAGACAAATGTTCCTATGGCCGTGCTTCGCAAGAATGTTTTCCGTTTTTTGTTCCTGCCGCAAGTTTGCTGATTTTTAAATGTTTTTCTATGATGTTTAAAAAGTTAACGTTTTTTTTATTGAAATTATTTAAATCATCTGCACAATATGTGTAGCTTTAAAGAGCACTTTGTAAACAAAATTTGACTTTGTTCTGACTTTTTTTGCCCATAAAGTTAAAGGTTCCCCTTGACAATTTGTCCAGTCATGTTCGACTCTAGGGGGTGGTGCTCATCCCCGTTTCCAAGCCATAGAGCCAGCGTTTGTCCAAAGACAATCTTCCGTGGTCACATGGCCATTGCGACTTCGACACAGAATGCTGTTACCTTCCCACCGAGGTGGTCCCTATTTATCTAGTCACATTTGCATGCTTTCGAACCGTTAGGTTGGCGGGAGCTGGGATAAGCGACGAGAGCTCACTCCGTTGCATGGATTCGATCTTACAGCTGCAGATCTATAGACCTTACAACACAGAGGTGTCTGTGGTTTAACCCGCAACACCACCATGTCCCCATAGGAACGCATTAATTAGATTTCAATGCACTCCTATGGGAAAACGCGTTTCACAAGACAAATTTTTTTGCGAGACAACATTAACTGCGGAACGAATTAAATTCGTCTTGTGAGGCACCACTGTAATGTAAAATTAACTTGGCTTTAACAAAATGCCAAGAAATCATGCTGCCTAGTAATAATCTGTGATATCGGATGATGATATGCTGTTAATATACGCAGATTAAGTGTTGCTGAGTAGAAAGGTATCAAATGATGTATTTGTGTTAGTCAGGAACACAATTTTTATGAATGTGGAATTAAAATCATTGGATCATTATAATTCTGAAAGACATTCTTTGAGTATGATAATACAGTGGACCCTTGACTTACAGACTTTTTGAGTTACAGACTTCTCTGGCCGCAAAATGTAGGTTTGACTTGCAGACTGAGATTTGACTTACAGACCAGAAAAAAACCAAAATGGAACAAAAACGGCCTGTTACGGGATTAAGCAGTTTTCAATGCACTGTAGGTCAATGGAGACTTGACTTACAGACTTTTTGACTTGAGAACCGCCTTCCAATACGGATTAAGTTCTCAAGTCAAGACTCCGCTGTAAATCAAACATTCAACAGCAGTCGATGAAAACAATTCATTTTGATAATCTGTTTTAGTTGTATTAAAAAAGGCCTAAGTATTTTTCAGGAATGTCCTTCAATGTGCTACTTTAGAGCTCTGTACTTACTTTCTTACAATGATCATCTTTTGTATAGGAGAGTTAATAAGATTTAAATACATATATAATCTAAATATATATATATATATTAACAACATAATTGTGTTTTCTCTATGATTCCAGAATGGTCAGACTCCATTAATGGTAGCTGCCGAGCAAGGCAATTTAGAAATTGTCGAAGAATTAATAAAAAAAGGTGCCAACTGCAACTTGGAAGATTCCGTAAGTACTGAGAGGACAATTCAATCTCTTACTGTGTTTTTCTCTCTCCTTCCATGCATACTATTCAGGACATACAGTTCCCTGCTGGTGGTCTCTCCCCATCGTCTCCTGCTGAGAGAGCTTTGAACATTAAAGCTACAGAATGCCTTGTTTCCCACCTAATTACTGATAATGTGATAGCCCATGGTAGAAGGGTCTATGGATTTCTCTTTTTAAAAGATTTTATTACTTCATGGCAGTCACTGTCATTTAACTTTTCTGATATCTTAGTATGGGAATTGCTTTTAATTACCTAATGGACTATTAGCTTTTCTTTCTTAATGTCCTTTTCTCATTGTAGGATAACTGGACAGCCCTTATTTCAGCAGCTAAAGAAGGGCATGCTGCCGTTGTGGCAGAGCTACTTAGTTGTAACGTGAACATTGAACATCGAGACATGGTATGATATGTTTTTAGCCTTTAAATTTCTAAAGATATTTATGTATTGCAAGTCTTTTCCAGTGAGGATCAGTGGATGGTGTTGGTAATGGTGCAGCAGACTTAACAAAGCAAGAAATTAATGCATGTTGTTATCTTTAGATCTGTGTCTGCAATTATGATAAGTGATATAGAATTTAAAACAGTCTGTATTATGATTTTCCTGCCTTAGGGGGGATGGACAGCCCTTATGTGGGCATGTTACAAAGGCCGTACAGAAGTAGCAGAACTGCTTCTTGAAAGAGGAGCCAATCCAAACATCACTGGACTGGTAAGTTTTTTCCTTTTTTAATTTTCACATTGGAGGCATTAGGAAACAATATTTGTCATTAGGAGTAACTGCCTTGATTGGTTTGTTTGGATGCCTGACTTGGAAAAGGAAAATTGACAAATGCATTCTCCTGCATTTGCTTCAAGAACCAGTCATTGATAATTTGTGTAAATTTAATGTTTCTGCAGGGAGAACTTTTAAAACACAGGGAAGTGTAAAAATACTGATATGTTTGTTGGGGGTGGTGGTGGTTGCAAGTTTAAATTGAAAATAGTGATCCTGATTCAGCTTTGTTCAAAAACAGCTTGATGTGTGGTATAAGTGATGTAGCCACAACAAATGATACATGCTTCTGTGGAGTCTAGAGTGGCATCAAAAGGCAGTTGAGTTTTGGCTGCTCATGCACAAGTCTGCTTTTGTGTATAGTCTCCTAGTTTGATCTAAAACGTTGTGTTTATTTTGTATCTGTCTTTGAAAATGTTTGCATTGGATTGTTTCAGTCACTAAATATGATGCTGCTGCTTGCGTTTCTTGTTGCTCCCCAGTTAAGTGACTGGCATGTAATGTCTTTATTTATGCCACTGTACTTAGGCCAGCCTACATAAGCTATAAGATTCTGGCCACTGTGTTTTTAGTTTATTGCTATATGTACACACTGAATATATTGGATATTCAGGTTTATATGGCATTTGCAATATGGAAAGTAATAATTCTCTTTTTTGCCAGACCTCCATGAGGCAAACACATTAATAATTATATGTTACCTCTAATGAACCAGATGCCTCTAAATTGGAGAGAGTAAACTGGTGAACTGTGTGTCTTTCAATATTTTTTTGTGTTGGGCATTATGAATTAATGCTTGAAAAGAGAGATGTATATATACTTTTATACTTACAATTTTGAAAAATCTTCTCTAAGCAATACAGTGTCTATCCAATAATTTGGGCAGCAGGACGGGGCCACTCTCATATCGTAGAACTCCTGCTACAATACGGAGCGAAAGTCAACTGCTCTGACAAGGTAGGCTGAAGGTAGTTTGTCTTTCTTGTGCAGATTTGACATATGTGACTGACATTAGAACACCTGTGGCTTTGCAACAAAACCAGAATGTGTCTAATATGTAAAACCCAATTTCTTTCTCCAGTATGGTACCACACCGTTGATTTGGGCAGCAAGAAAGGGTCACCTGGAATGCGTGAAATACTTGTTGCATATGGGAGCAGATGTTGATCAAGAAGGAGCTGTGAGTAATTTTTCATTTTTTGAAAAAGATATTGTTGGTAACAAATATCTATCTAACATAAAACAATAGATAGCACTGAGTAAGGGAGATTTATGGTGGCTGTTAAATACTCTAACTCAAGTGTTACCTAATTGCAGCCATTCACTTAGGCTGCAGCTCAGAAGGAGATGAAAGGGAATGTCTTTCTGTCAGTTGCACTGAAAGACCAATGTCTTTTGGCTCCTCTTCTCCCCGCTTTCCTCTTTCTTTCCCCTTCTTTTTTCCTTTTGTGCCTTTTCGGTCCTAAATTTCAGGGTAGGAGCTGTCATAGAAGTGGGGCCTCTAAGGCCATCAAGTCCAACTTGGAGGAATACAAGTCAGAGGATACCTACCAGGTGGTTGAGTGCCTCCAGTGTTGGAGTGCTCATCGCCTTGCAAGCTAACTGGTTCCACTGTCATAGTGCTCTAACAGTTAGGATGTTTTTCCTGACATTCAGTCGACATCTGGCTTCCTGTAACATGAGCCCATTGTTCTGTGTCCTGTATATTGATCGTGCATTAGTTGTCCTAAAACATTTTTGGTTGAAGAACAAGGTAAAATGTTTTAATAGGCATACCTTAGGATTTGAAAAAATGCACTGAGTTAGTTGTGGGGTGATTTCTGGCCTAGTGTAACCCCATCTTCTGATCCCACAACATCTAGATGGCTGTAGATTCCCCACAGCCTGCCTTAGAATAAAGCAAAGGAACAATGGAACAAACCTCCCCACTCTTGGTTCTTCTGAAAGTCTTCTGAAAGCATGCAGGCATTTCTTAGCAGCAAAAGCTTTCTTTTAGATCAGGGGAGGCAGTTTTGACAGGTCCAAAGTGAAAATTTTTCATTTGGATTTTTGAAGTTTTGAATGTGGTGTGTGTGGGCCTGGGGGGAGCAGGTGGGCGGGCAGGCTCCTGAAACTCCACAATGTGAAAACCACTACTACTAGAACTCTCCCCCCCCCCCGAATGGTGGGCAAGGGGTCGGGTGGCCTGGGATGCTTCAAAAATGCCCTTGAGCTTGCATTTTCCCTTTCCTTTTTAAATGCTTTGTCATTCACATCTCTGTATACATAGTTGTTGATATGTCTGCTATTGTGAAATTTCCCATCCCTATCTCTTCCTGAAAACATAGCAACCGTTTATGATTATAAAGGGGTATGGAACGTCGGATGTTTGACATTGAAATAAAAATGCGACCTTTGAAGGAAAATCTCCTATGCTGGTTTCCTAAGATGGCAATAATAATGTGTGTTCGTGTGTGTGTTTTGCTTTCCACAGAATTCCATGACTGCACTTATTGTCGCAGTAAAAGGTGGTTTCACAGATTCGGTGAAAGAAATCCTGAAAAGGAACCCCAATGTAAACCTAACCGATAAAGACGGAAACACAGCTTTGATGATTGCTGCAAAGGAGGGGCACACAGAAATAGTGCAGGATCTCCTGGATGCAGGAACCTATGTGAATATTCCTGACAGAGTAAGTATGCTTGTTCATAATACATGTGTGTTGGTACACTGCATGCTCAGATTTTTATTTACGCCTATGGCAAAACAACATTGTTGTCAAATATATGATTCAGAAATGCGCAAAAAAATCTGTTTTCTGCTTTACTACAGAGTGGAGATACTGTGCTCATTGGTGCTGTCAGAGGTGGTCATGTGGAAATAGTGAGAGCTTTACTCCATAAATATGCTGACATAGACATTAGAGGTCAGGTAAGTAACTCTGGGTTTCATGTTAGGGTTCTGAAAATAGCAGTGTCATACATCAATTTAGGAAGCATCCCTTGGAAATTTTATAGACATATTTCTGGATGGGCTTGGTGTCTTGAAAAACTTTTGGAGTGAAATTCCATTAGTATCTATCCATTGTAAAAATGGCACCTGCCAGCCAAGTGGATTTCACTGCAGCCACCTTCTCCCAAATCTGTTTTGGGGAATCTCTTAAAACAGAATTTGGGTGACATCTGAGGCTTGTAGTTGGGAAGAAAGAGTGAGAAAGGTCTGTTGCACAGATTGAAATCTGTTGACATTAGATTAGACATCCTTTTTTGCACTCTATATTATCATATTTTTCTGTGTGTAAGACAATACTTTTGTCTAAAATCTTTAGATTAAAAATTGAGTGTCATCTTATACACGGAGGTAAGGGGGGGAGGGATCAAAGCACTTTGATCCCTGCCTTCCCTTCCACTTTTTGCAAAGAAAGTGGAGGGGAAATGCAGTTTCCTCTCAAGAAAGTGGAGGGGGAAAGCAGGAATCATTGAAGCGCTTTATTCATGCTTTCCCCCTCCACTTTCTTGCGAAGAAAATGCTTTCCTCACAAAAAAGTGCAAGAAAGTGGAGGAGGAAAGAAAGTGGTGGGGGGAAGCATGAATCAAGCGCTTTGATGATTTCTGTTTTTCCCCTCCTCTTTCTTGCAAAAAAAAAAAATTGGGTTAGAAAAGTGGAGGGGCGTCTTATGCAATGAAAAATACAGTGATTGGCTATTTTAGCATAAGATACATAAATATGTTATGCACTTCATGGTCAATGTAAAGTTGCTATCAGCTGTGATGACATTTTAAAATAGGTATATTGGATGTCTCCCTATAAAACGACATCCATGCCCTCTCCTGCGGTTTTTAGGCACTGAAGTATTCACCAAGCTTAGTGACCAGCGGGTCTTAGCCAGTGAGCCATGAAGTACTTGCCTCCTTCCTGGAAGGGTACTAATCAACCTGAATCTTGATGTTGATTTTCCTCAGTCAGTTCAAGAGCAGTGAGAATTACTGCTCTTGGAGTTTAAATAAATATATTTCAATTTTGCAATGAAAACAAAAAGCAGTTCCCCTTAAGATGGACTGCAAGGACTATCCTAAAGCTGAGATTGAGAGGTGGTGTAGGGGAGATAGTACTGTACTGCCTTTTTTGACTCTCTGCATGTCTTCATGAACCACTTGGCCTGAAACCCTGCCCAAGCAGAACGGTGTATCTAAATCTAACAGGGTATTCATACACAGCCCTTTTTATCCTGTGCAAAGGGAACATACTGCATTTTTGTTAAAGGCCTTATGTTGTGGAGAAAATGAGGGCAGGTGGGGGAGGATATTCTGTATGTTATAGTTGTGACCAGTGTTCCCTCTGATTTTGCTAGTGCTGTGTGGAGCTCTGCCCCCCCCCATGGGGTTCTGCCACAACTGGAAGCAAAATGGGAGCAATATCAATCTGGCTGTGTGGGACTGATGCAGTGCTTCTTGCATGTATGTGCACAGCTTAGAGGGAACATTGGTCCTGACCTATTTTACCTTTTTTTAATAAAAAAAGTCCAGTAGATGTTTCTTATTCAGTCCATAATATTTTCTATTCTGATGTTATCATTTTGATAATAATCATGTGTCATTAAGTCAGTACTGACTTACAGTGACCTTTTTCAGGGTTTTTCCAGGTAGAGGGAAGTGGGTCACCATTCCATTCTTATGAGGACATTCTGGGACTGTGCAGCTTGCCCAAGGCCACCCAGGCTGGCTGTACTCACAAGAGACACAGTGGGGAGTCCAACCCCAACCTCTGGCTCTGCATCCAGATACCTAACTTACTGAGCTCTCCAGTCAGCGTTATCACTTTGATACAGGGAATTAATTAGAAGCCATGTCTCACATGGTTTATGAAGATACTCAAAATTATGTTCAGGCTCATCAAAGGTGTTGTGTATGTCATTGTAGGACAGCAAAACTGCTTTATATTGGGCTGTGGAGAAGGGAAATGCTACAATGGTGAGAGATATCTTGCAGTGCAATCCAGACACTGAAATATCCACCAAGGTAAGTAGACGGTTATTGGTTTTGTTTACTGGAGATTGCCACTTGCATTGTTTACATTCAAAATCCCCCCTACTCTTTTCTGTATTGCCAAAGAGACCAGCTGTTAAAAATATTGCCTGTAAAGAAGGTGGAAAAGCTGTAGTTCCATGTAGAAATACTGTTCAGCCCAACACATTTCCTTGCACAAGTCAGCTAGTCAAACGCATCATATCTTACCAACTGCTTCCCATTGGCTTGCCAGAATAAACGTTAGATATACATTTGAACTGAAGTGTATGTGAAACCTCACTAGCAAAGGCAAGATTTTTCCTTCTGAAAAATATCCTCTGTGCAAGGAACCATGTTATTTTGCATTAAATAGTGATTAAAACATTAACATTGTAAAAACAAATTAGAAGTTCTACAAAGTAATTAATAGACAATGTGGTTGAAATAATTACTACTGCTTAACAAGAAAAAAAATACTTAGTTGAGCAGTTTGCTACATGTTTACTCAAAATTAAGTCCTGCTCAGTGGGCCTACTCTGTAGTCATTTTATGTATATTTGTTGCTTAAATGGGTTAAGCCATCTACAATGTTCAACCTAAATGGGCTGAACATTGTGTGATGCTGGGTGTTCACTTTAGAGAAACAAGCCTGGGGGCGAACAAATTGGATGCAAGGTCACACAGAAATTTCAGATCTTATTTAAATTGTTATACAACTCTTACAGAATGCTTGAGACGAGACAGGATTTCTTCTCCCTTGTCTGGAAGTGTTGACACAAAAGTTTTCTGTTCTTTGCTTTTAGGATGGAGAAACCCCTCTTATAAAGGCAACGAAGATGAGAAACATTGAAATAGTTGAGCTTCTGCTTGACAAAGGAGCGAAAGTTTCAGCTGTAGATAAGGTACAGCTGTTTGACCACTGCTGTGTCAAGGGGCAATTCAAAATGATGTGGAAGTGGGGGGCTAACACAAAAGTGCTTGTTGTTGGAGGGGGGGCACCCGTTGGGAAAGGAGTCAGTAAAGCAACTCCCTATCTGGACTTTTCTCCAGACATACAAGTTATTTGGAGGGAATAACCCAAAGCAAATTGATGGGTTTAGGAAGAACAACCTTCAGAACAGGACCAAAGAGCCCGAAAAACCCACAACAACCATTAGATCCCGGCCGTGAAAGCCTTTGCGAATAAATTGATGGGGTGTTTGTTGGTGGGTTGAATGGAGCCTTGTCATTTCAACTTTCAAGGATGTGACTGGCTTTGTGGTCACATGTTTTGCTTCTGTTTCCTGGTCTATTGATTTCATGTCATCTCTTGCAGAAAGGAGATACTCCGCTCCATATTGCTATTCGTGGCAGAAGCCGCAGGCTAGCAGAACTGCTTTTAAGAAATCCAAAAGATGGCAGACTTCTTTACAGGCCCAATAAAGCTGGAGAGACACCTTATAACATTGACTGTAGCCACCAGAAAAGCATTTTGACTCAGATATTTGGAGCTAGTAAGTATTTGACATTTTCAAAGGTACATGACCTGGAATTACAAAAAGTTTAGCAATTGTCAGATGAGCTCATAGATAGACATGATAAAGAAGTACAATTATAAAGGAAAGACCAAGGTCTCAAAATGTAAGGAAACAAACTGCTTCATTTTAGTCTAAAAATACCAGCATTTTTTTGACTTGAATGTATGGCCTTCTACAGTAGCTGTATAAAGTAAAACAAAAAAGGGAGATAACACATTACCATTTTGACATTGCATTGCATATTACCACCTGAAACTTTAATGTACAGTGTTCACAATAAGAATATTAGTCCAATGTATTAGTACATTTAATTAACAGCTCAGCTCCAATAGTAGCGAGAGAAAGATCCCCGATTACCTTACACAGCTGTTGTTCAGGGTCATTCTGATCAATCCACAGCTTACTGGCCTACAAAGCTTGGGAGGTATATGTACGGTCATACTATTAAAGAAGGCGGGGGGACCTATTTCTTTAAACCCCAAACAACAGCAGTCTAAGAAAACATCCAAAAATAGGGGTTTGTCTCCTATGTCACAACTAATCTGCGGGAGCTTACAGACCCCGAAAAAGGAGAAAAATCTAAGCTGGACCAATCGTATGTATAAAATATAATTGCTAGATGTGTTAATTGAATGTAATATTGTGCTGGATTGATATTCTCATTGTGAGCAATGTAAATTAATGTTCCTGATGGTTGTATACAGTCCAGTGTGAAATGGTAATGTAATGGTCTCCTTTATTTTTGTTTTACTTCGTAAAGACCCTGAAGAAGGCCATAAATTAGAGGCCAAGACCTGTTGGGCATTTTAGATTGAAATAAAGTGATTTATTTTCTTTCATCCTGAGACTTTGGTCTCTCCAAATCATATTTGTTGGGTGTTACCAGTTCCTTTTGCTTTTTGATAAAGAAGTATCTGGTCTGGACCTCAAAAGAGGATCCTGGAGTAGCAGGTTGCATGGATCCTCTGTGGTTGATGTTGTGGATTGGTGAAGAAAGGAAGTCAAGAAAGCCTTTATGGAAGAGTTGTTTTGAGGATAGCGAGGATGAGGGCCTGCTTTCCTGTCTCTTGGGAGCAACACAGAAGAAGAGAATAAAGGTATTACAATTGCCTAGGCAGAAACAGGAACTCAGGGAGATTCCAAGAGTGTTCTTGGTTCAATTCCAGCTTACTTTATTGTAGGCTGACCATGTTCTTATGTCCATTTGTGAGCAGCAGAATACATAGTTGTATAACATGTTTATTCCATGGAGCCTGCTTGATGTTTCAGGACACTTATCACCAACTGAATCTGATGGAGATATGCTGGGCTACGATCTTTATAGCAGTGCACTAGCTGATATTCTTAGTGAACCAACTATGCAGCCACCCATCTGTGTTGGACTGTATGCCCAGTGGGGAAGTGGGAAATCCTTTCTGCTCAAGAAACTTGAAGGTATAGGCGTTTTAAGTTTAAGTACATACTGCCATGTCTTTTAAACTGCATAATTTATAAAACAATACACAATTTCTGCCTCAAAAACCCATGCTCTTAAATACGGGATGTATGGAAAAATGTTTTTTGTTCCCTGCCCTGAATTTCTGTCATACAGCTTCACTGGATGGCCCTGGGTTCTAGTATTGTGAGAGAGGGAGAAAATAACTTTATATACTTCTGCATACTGTATTTCCCCCAAAATAAGACAGGGTCTTTTATTAATTTTTGCTCCAAAAATGCATTAGGGCATATTTTCAGGGGATGTTTTTTTTTCATGTACAATAATCTACATTTATTCAAATGCAGTCATGTCATCTTCTTCTGGTTGCTGCATAATGGCGGAGGGCGTGGTTTCACTTAACTGGGGCTTATTTTGGGGGGTAGGGCTTATATTACAAGCATCCTGAAAAATCATACTGGGTTATTTTCAGGTTAGGTCTTATTTTGGGGAAAACAGGGTATATTAGCAGTCTTACATGTCATCTTGCTTTTTATAAGCTAAATAACCTTTACCCTTTGGAAAGTTGTTCTAGACCTTGATCATTTAGGTTGCTCTTTCCTACCTCTGCAGTGTCCTTTTGGAGGTGTGGCAAGAAATCTGTACAACATTTAGGCTGAAATCCAGCTAGAAAGTTTCCTTTTCTCCCCAAAAAGCTCCTAGTCCTGCTTAGGCCCCTTTTGGTCCCAGGGAAGCTTTTAGGGACAAAGAAATAGAGGGAGTCTTAAGTGTTTGGAAAATCTTGGCTGCCATTTTGTGAAAAACATCCTTTTGTGAGTCTGGACATTTAGACATGGGAACTGGACTTCTTTCTTCTTAGGTTGAAATGTTTCAGTGGGCTGCCATTTTGTGAAAAACATCCTTTTGAGAGAGTCTGGACGTTTAGTCATGGCAACTGGACTTTTCTTCTTAGGTTGAAATGTTTCAGTACTCATCCAATCAGCTTCTTCTGTCTGAGGAGAGTTGGTAGGACATCCCTGATATATAGCTTTTACAACAAAATCGCTTGATGTTGAAGGTTTTGCGATCGCAAAAGCGATCGCAAAACGATGTTTCCTATGGGGGAAATTCGCTTTGCGATGATCAGTTCCCTGCTTCGGGAACCGATTCTCGCAAAGCGATGATTTTCGGCCAGCTGATCGGCAGTTTCAAAATGGCCGCCGGGTTAAAAAAATGGCTCCCCGCTCTTTTCTGGGACGGATTCCTCGCTGCACAGGCAGCGAAAATGGCCGTGCTATGGAGGATCTTCGCTGGACGGAGAGTTTCAAGCCCATAGGAACGCATTAATCGGGTTTTTATGCGTTTCTATGGGCTTTTTAATTTCGCATTACGACATTTTCGTTCTACAGCGATTTTGCTGGAACAAATTAACGTCGTCATGGGAGGCACCACTGTCTCAGGGGTTTCCTAGCAACTCTCTTCAGACTGAAGAAGCTACTTGGATTAGTAGCGAAATGTTTCAACCTAACAAGAAAGAAGTCCAGTTGCCATGACTCCCAGATACTGTAACCTGACCTGGATGATTGAGAATCTTCACAGACATATCCTTTTCAATTGCTACCCATTTTCGTTTTTTGACCACTCAGAATACTTTGGGGTTCTCAACAACCCTATTATTGACACCTTGGTCCAGACCATAGATGCATAAGAGAAAACACTCTTACCCTGCTACAGATTGTTAGGAGTCTCTCCATTGTCAGAACTGTCTATTTATTGCTCCTCTGTTGTTCCTGTGCTTTAACCAGTTAAATCAATCGTAACAATACCTCTCCTGCCATCCTATAGCTGCTAAGTGTGCTTTGGAATCTGGTCTTTGCTTCTTTACTTCTCTCCTTAAACAGAGCAGATGCAGCCATACTGCCTTTGGGATGTTCTCTGGATTGAATATCTCTCCCTTTTTTTTCCTTAGATGAAATGAAAACTTTTGCGGGACAGCAGATTGAACCATTGTTCCAGTTTTCATGGCTTATTGTATTCCTTACTCTTCTGTTGTGTGGAAGCCTTGGTTTATTGCTCGCATTCACCGTAGATGCAAAACTTGGAATAGCCATGGCATTGAGCTTGCTGGCCCTACTCTATGTGTTTTTTAGTAAGTCTTATTCTAAGTTGAATCTACTGTGCCTTTGAAAGAGAGTTGGAATCTCAATGAACTGGAGTGTGAAAGACATAAGCTTGGGTCCAATGGTGGAGTCGTCTGGTGGAAGAAGTGGGGAGGCAAGTTTGCTAATATACCTACACCCTATAAAGTTCTGTTCTGGAAGATCAGGAGACTATTTGGAATTCTGTGGGTCATCATTGTGCAGGTGGGAAGCAGAAACTGACCACCCCCCAAAAAAACACCAGCCCCTTTCCACTCTTCAGCATTGTGTAAGCAAAACACTTGTGAGATGTTTGTGATTAAACCAGCAGACCATGAACAGAATTAATAGATTGTGATGGTGAACAAATTTGCAATGTATTGTAAAGATTTACTAAATTAGGGCTGAGGTCAGCGCTTGTTTTTAGGTTCCAGAATACAGTACCACTAATTCTGAATGTTACTGTGTCTTATTCCAGAACACTGCTGGTAACAGTAATGCAGAGAGCTCTGCGACACGTGTGCCCCAGAATGTGCATGCTCTCACACAGCCTCCTAAGCAGTAAAATGGTAGTTTGGCATTTTGTCTGTATCTTTCAAATTCAAAGGGAAAAATATTAAAAGTAAGTTTGAGGGTAGATAATATGGAAATAAGGATTGCTAATTGCTTCTGTAATCCTGTATTCCAGAAGGTGATGTAGAACTCAATGAAAATAGATCATGATTTTCATACGTAGGAATGACATGCATAAAATTATTCACTTGTGCCAGTACTTTCTTATGTGTCAGTGTCTCCTTTTAATGGGCTGCTGGATAGCTCAGTGGTTTAGAACTCTTGTTGCAAAGCCAGAGGTTAGGAGTTGGATTCTCCCACTGGGCCTCCTTGACAGGGGCTGGACATGATGATCCATAGAGTCCCTTCCAGCTCCGTCATTCTAAGATGATGATGTTTAAAATCTGCACAACATCTATCAATAATGAAGACATTTGTGAAAATGTTTCATTCCAGCGGTGATATATTTTGGTAGCCGAAGAGAAGGAGAGAACTGGAACTGGGCATGGGTCCTCAGCACGAGGTTGGCGAGGCATATTGGCTACATGGAGCTGCTGCTTAAACTCATGTTTGTGAACCCACCTGAGCTGCCTGAGCAAACTACCAAAGCCTTACCTGTGAGGTTAGAATAATTCACTGCATTGCTCTTTGACTGTAGGTGGTGATAGTGGGGTTTTTTAAAAAGTGATGTTGGAAAACACTTCAGTCTGAATTTGATGAAGATATGAGGCTGCAGTCTTTATAACACTGCACTAGCTGGGACTCCCAACCTTGACTATGCAGCTGCTTACTTTGTTGGACTTCCCAGTAAGCAGAAAAGCTTTTCTCTTTAACTTTAAAAAAAAAAATAGTCTGTGTTAGTCAAAGGTTTTAACCGTGTGACTTTTAAACCTTTGTCTACCTTCCTGTCCCTGGATTTCTTAAGATGTAACTGGGCTATTATGTACTAAGGAATTGATTTGAGAGAACAAAGTGGCACCACAGTGGGAAACTGCCATATAGCCATGTGCAGTATTGTGGATCACTGATACCAGTGAAGAAATATATTTTCCTAGGATTGATAGGAAATTGTACATCAAAGGTACCTCCAGATATAGGTACCAAAGTTTTGCTGGATTTGCTGTAGGACTGCAGTCATTAATGGAATTACATCATTGTGACTTTTTCCCCCCACATACCTGGAATCCTGGTTATCACTTAATTGGAATGATCCTTAGATTGCTGCTTTAGAAGCTTATAAAGTTGAGTATATTGCTAAATGTCTTTTAGAAGTGGGAAGAGAGGAACAAGCTCTTGTGAATGAAGGTGTACTGTATTAAGAGTGGTTCAGAGGTCTTCAAGTGCATTTCACACCAACAAAGTACACCAAGAATAGTCTAATACTGTTTCTTATTTGTCTTCAGATTTTTATTTACTGATTATAATAGACTGTCCAGCGTAGGCGGTGAAACTTCAATGGCTGAGATGATTGCCACGCTTTCAGATGCCTGTGAGAGAGAATTTGGTTTCTTAGCAACACGCCTTTTTCGAGTTTTCAAGACTGAAGAGACGCAAGGTATTTGTGAACTGAATTGCTATCCCTCTCACCTCTATTTTGCTGGTTACAGCAGAGAAGCACACTTCTTTTAGAAACACAGTTTTGGCATATATTCACACATACAGTAAGCCAGAAAACATTGTAGATCTGTTGGCTTTGTTCAGCTTGGAAAAATGAATTGCAGAGCGGCAACATTTTAAAAATTCTTTTCACTCCACTAGTGCAAAGATACCAGCAGGTCAGGAAACACTATTTTCACATGCTCTAGTGTCATACTTAGAATTTTGACTCTGTGTGTGCAAACTTTTGTTCATTACAACTTAATTATAAGTCTTGTGGCGCAGTGGTTAAACTGCTGTGCTGCAGCCAAAACTGTGCTCACAACCCAGGGTTCAGTCCCAGGTAGCCGGGTCAAGGTTCACTCAGCTTTCCATCCTTCCGAGGTTGGTAAAATGAGTAGTCAGCTTGCTGGAGTGGGAGGCAATGTGCAGCCTGCACAGTTAACTTTTAAACTGCCCACAGAGTGCTGTATGTGCTATGAGGCAGTATATAAGCAGCACACTTTGCTTTTTTAATTGGGCCAGGTGCTGCTTGCACTACTTGCATTGCTAGTGGAATAATGCTAGCTCTTGTAATTTTTCTAACAGGATAACATTGGATGGTACCCATTAAAATGGTTTGTGTAATTATGACCGCAGGCTCTCTTTGTTATCTCTTGTTATTTTTGAATCTACAGAAGTTATTTTCTGTATCTGTTGATTCGAGTTACCATGGAAAGAGTAGCATTGCACCAGATTAGGTCTCTCAGGGCAGTGTTGTGTGGGACTCATGCTTTGTATTAAATATAGTGTCCTTGAATTAGTGAGCCAGTAATTACACCATATTCCTGTAAGAATTTATTGAAGAATTTATTGTTTCACCTTATTTACTTCTGCTCTGTTCTTCTGGATACAAATGAACGTGACCAGAGACTACTGCATACATTTTTGCAGTTGTCTGTTTTCTCAGAAGTACTGCTAGTGCTGTTCTGGTCTTAGCTTACATATAGCTGGAAACTCATTATAACAGCTAGAGTGTCTGTGATTTACTCAGCTAACACCTTCTGAATCCATGTGGATGAGTGATAAGCTGCACTGCCTTGTGTTAATTAGTATTGGCATAGCGTTAAGTTGCCCTGGGCCATGTTGTAGGACTTCCAGGTTTACTTCAGTGTTGCCCTGAAGTTTCTTCCTGAGTGTAAAAATGTGTTTACCAATTGCTGATTTGCTTTCCAGGCAAAAAGAAATGGAAGAAGACTTGTTGTCTCCCGTCCTTCGTTATCTTCCTCTTCATTCTCAGCTGTATTGTAGCTGGGGTTACTCTTATAGCTTATTTTAAAGTGAATCCTGAAAACATGACAGTGAATGCTGTTTTGATCTCAGTGGTCTGTGTTGTGGGCTTGGGCTTCCTCTTGAATTGTCGCACATGGTGGCGTGTCATGGACTCGGTCCTAAATTCGCAGAGAAAACGGCTCCATAATGCTGCTTCGAAGCTACACAAGCTGAAGAGTGAGGGATTTATGAAAGTAAGCACTGATACCTTGCTATAGCAAAACTGTGATAATTTCTAAGTTGATTAATGTTTTCTGAACTCTTATTTAAAACATAGTGGGCAACCTCCATAGGGCTGAGGCCAGCACATGGTCACCCCCAAACCTCAGAGGGCCCCACTCTCTCCTGCCCTCCATTTCCCCCAAGTTTTACATTTTTTAACCCATAAAGGCTTCATCATGCTCTCTGTACTCATTAATTTTTTTAAATTTGTGTGGAGGGGGAGAAAAGTGGGATTTTGGAGTGCCCCAAACATGTCAGAATTGTCTCCTGAGCTGTCTAGGACAGTGGTCCCCAACCTTGGGCCTCCAGGTGTTCTTGGACTTCAACTCCCAGAAATCCTGGCCAGCCTCTTATAGCTTATTTTAAAGTGAATCCTGAAAACATGACAGTGAATGCTGTTTTGATCTCAGTGGTCTGTGTTGTGGGCTTGGGCTTCCTCTTGAATTGTCGCACATGGTGGCGTGTCATGGACTCGGTCCTAAATTCGCAGAGAAAACGGCTCCATAATGCTGCTTCGAAGCTACACAAGCTGAAGAGTGAGGGATTTATGAAAGTAAGCACTGATACCTTGCTATAGCAAAACTGTGACAATTTCTAAGTTGATTAATGTTTTCTGAACTCTTACTTAAAACATAGTGGGCAACCTCCATAGGGCTGAGGCCAGCACATGGTCACCCCCAAACCTCAGAGGGTCCCACTCTCTCCTGCCCTCTATTTCCCTCATGTTTTACATTTTTTTAACCCACAAAGGCTAAAAAGTGGGATTGGAGTGCCCCAAGCATGTCAGAATTGTCTCCTGAGCTGTCTAAGAGACACAATTTTAGAAATTGTTCATTGGCTGAATATTGCCTATCCCTGATTTAAAAGACAGTGATTTATAAGAACAAAACAGTTCATCGTTTTTTTCTTTTTATTTGTGTTATTGTCTAGTGTTTATATTAATTTTATAACTTTATATTTTTTTGCTGAACACTACCCAGAGCAGTGATTGCTAGTTGGGTGGTAAACAAACAAAGAAAACAAACAACTAGAACATTTCTATCTTCTTTATGACAAATACATAGTTGATTGCCACTAAACCTAAATACTGCATTTTCGTTATAGTTGCTTAAAAGAATTCTGAATAGTTGTCAAAATGCCATACATCAGTTTAAATGGGATTCATTTTTGGGACTTTTTTGTCCCCTGAGCATTTTGATGATAGTAACATTGCCATTTTATGACTGTTTTAATCTTGCAAGGTTCTGAAATGTGAAGTGGAGCTGATGGCAAAGATGGCAAAAACCATTGATAGCTTCACTCAGAATCAGACTAGACTTGTGGTGATCATGGACGGATTGGATGCATGTGAACAGGACAAAGTCTTGCAGATGCTTGACACCGTAAGTGGGCAGCCTTCTTGCTTTTTGTCTTTCACTGGTCTTGGGAGTCAAACATTTGCCAAGTTGTGAGGCAGAAGTGTGTGGATGTTGTGTTTCTTTTAGAGAGAGATGTTTGGGTACAATTCGATAAAGTTAGTTGTAAGTCTGGTTGAAACCAGTGGAACAAATTGAGCACACTCATTCAATGGCATTTGTGTCTGTTGGCTTGGGCTCCCTGTTGGAAATAATCCCCCAGTTCAAAGAACATGTTCCTGTGTAAAGTTACAGAGAAGTCAAATCTGTTAGTTTTAATTACCTTCCAATAAGAACATTACAGGAGTGTTTTGGCTATAATGCATATACATTTTTGGCAGAGCAAACCTCTCAGTTGAAAAGTGGTGTCACTTTAGTGCCTAACCCCCACCCACCCCTCTGGTAGCAAATTCTAAAGATGGTGTGGCTAAGAGTCCCTTGCATGAATGGAAGGTCCTTTTGCAAGGGACACCACCTCCAAATGCTGCCAATTTCGATGCCGTGCCACTTTTTCCTGTGTTACCTCCCAGGCCATTCTGGAAGGTCTCCTGATCCCTAGGAGCAGCAGCTTGGGAGGCTGCAGGGGAAGTAGGAAAGTGGGAAGCTTCCATTTTGCAAGTAGTGCTCTGGATCTGACAGTCTGCTCTTCATATATGTTGTACGTTGAGCTTGGCATCTCAACAAAAGGTTTTGGCTCTTGCGGTGTTGAGAAAGAATTCACAAGGCACGTCTCCCAAGTGTATGCTGTTCCCAATGTTGACAGACCACCCTTCTAATTCTGCCTCCTGTGTATTGAAGTGTAGCATAAAATGTGAGACAGGCACGTGGGCCTGAGTGTAGTTCACTGCTTCTGTCCCAAGAGTGACATTCAAACCTCACGTCCTAAACAAACCACTTTATTTACATAACTGAATACACTTTTTCTCTCTTGTCCACAGGTTCGAGTCCTGTTTTCAAAAGGGCCATTCATTGCCATTTTTGCTAGTGATCCGCACATTATTATAAAGGCAATTAATCAGAATCTGAACAGTGTGCTACGAGACTCAAATATAAATGGGCACGATTATATGAGAAATATAGTCCACTTACCTGTCTTTCTTAATAGCCGTGGGCTCAGTAGTGCCAAAAGGATGATGGTAGCTGCGACCACCAATGGAGATGTTCCATACTCAGATAGTTCAGGTATAGTAACGTGGTTAAAAAGGAACAGTCTGTCTGAGAGGAAATAAATATTTGCAGGACTATTTTCATATAAACTAGTAGTAGATATTATTTTTTTTGCCTGTTCAAGAAAATGCATCTTAATGGTAACAATTTCTTAGGATTCCATGAAGAAGTTGATCGAAGAGTGTCACAGAATAGCTTAGGAGATGTGACCAAGCTCGGAAGCAAAACAGCTCTCAACAGACGGGTAAGAGATGGCCGGTTTGAAACGTTTCAGACTTTAGCCAGCCGGTGAAAATGTCTTGGGATCCATTTCACCAAGCAGCCATCCAGCTCAGGTGCTGATACCTTAAATGTTTAGACCTTATCCAGATATGGGGCAAAATCCTATTGTATAACTTCGCGCCCGATGCAACTCAAGACAGGCACCTAAAACATTTAACTTGCACTAATTTCAAGCTTCCTATCCCACTGTTTTAGATTCTGAGGCTCCCTCAGGCTCCCTTTTGCCATGGGAAAACCTTTGGGAGCCTTGGCATGGTGGGGGCAGGCCTTCAAAAGTAAAAAAATCGCAGCTGACCAGTGGTGATCCGGTGCCTATTTTCAGGGACTTCTTAAAGCTACAAGAAAAAGCCAAGTAGAGTTCTAGAGGCTGGAATTTCCACCAGTGCATCTTCCCTTCACAAATCCACATCCATGGGTGTGCTTTGCTGGAGGTTTTTCTGTGTTTATTGACGTACATTATTAGCTTTCAGAAGATTCAGTTTCTTGGATAGCTGCAGCAAGCGTTGCCTCATTCGTTTCACTGTTAGGTTGGGAGAGACACAGAAGCACGTTAAGAAAAATACTCTTTTGCTGCGCAGTTTTAAAATTAAACAATTTAGTTCCATCTTGATATCTTTATTATATTTGGGAAGAGGTTTTTGAAATACATCTTGTGCATATAGGGTTATTTATATTCAGACTAAATGGGCTTGCAGAACAATAAATTCTTTGCAAAATAGTTAGATCTCACATTGAGTTCTTGGAGATACGCTCTCTACGTGTCGGGAGCACAAGTTTGTTTGTGTTTAAAACATCCATGCCTGCCAGTTTTCTGAATTTGTCACAGCTGGTTTTGGTTGAATCCCATGCCTGCTTTCTGTGGGTTGAAGGGATCCTTCTTTCCACTTTGATTCAGCAGAAGAATAACACCAGCAGAATGGAGAAGTGAATGATCCATGATACTCCCTATTCCTCTCCATTTTGAGAGCATCTTGCGTGGTGCCCATACTGGCAGAGAAGGAAACAGTTCCTACCCATTATATGTTCTATAGAAATAGTATTAAAGGGAGCAACAATATTATCTTCTCAAACCGTCATTGGAATGACACTTCTTGTAGGGAACATTTTCATGTGTGTGTGTGTGTTTTTTTTCCCTGGCAAGGTTGCTTGATGTCAAGGAAAAATTTCAGGACTTTATTGTGCTTCTTTGGAGTGCATTGATAAGATTTCTTGCCTACTTCACAGACTATAATCTGGAAGTCAGTTTGTTAAGAAAATGCATCCGCTTGTGTTTTTATTGTAATTAGGATACTTACAGAAGAAGACAAATGCAGCGTACCATTACACGTCAAATGTCTTTTGATCTGACCAAGTTATTAGTTACAGAAGACTGGTTCAGTGACATCAGCCCACAGACAATGAGGCGATTGCTCAATATTGTTTCTGTAACAGGTTGGTTTGCTTATTGTACTTCTAAGAACAGGCAAGGGAGACGAAGTCTAAAAGGATGTGGCCAAATAAGCTAATTAGTTTTTCTGTTTGTAATTAATTATTTTCAGTTAAATGCATGGTAACTTTAATAGCTAATGTTTAATTAAGCACAGTGTAATGTAATTAACGCAAGACATTGATTAATGTCTAGTTGTTAATGAAGTATTTGAATTACATTGACTACATCAGTTTCATCAGTATCTTTGTGGCTTTATGTCAACAGTATAATGCTGAGTTTATCTTTAGTATTATCCATTGTTTATTGCTTTGTTCTTTGTTTCTTAATTTCAGTTCTGTATAACCTTACTGTATTAGGAAATCTTTGCATCATGTATTTCCCCCCATGTTATATGACTTTCTTCTGTGTTTGCTGGAGACTGACTGTTTTTTACATTTCCTTTTAAGTACCTTGAAGGTTAGAGACTGTTTAGATGTCAGAGAATCACAGCTCTTTGGTTCTTTGGTGCCTCCTTGCCATCAAGGCATATAAAAGGGAACAGTGGACAGTTCACTGAATGTGGAACATAGAAAGAAGTTGTAGTTGTTGTTTCAGCTTATATACCACTCCATAGTGCTAAAGCACTCTCTGGGTGGTTTACAGTATACATAGGCAAACAACAACTTGTCCCCTCATTAAACTAGGTGAGCATTTTACCGACCTCAGAACGATGGAAGGCTGAGTCAGCCTTGAGCCAGCTATCTGAATCCATCAGGACTGAATCCATCAGGTCATGAGCAGAGGCTTGACTCTGCAGTACTGCAATTTAACCATTATGCTATGGGGCTCGTTGCCATATTCAGTGCACTACTTATATAATTAAGAAAGTAGAACACAGAGCTGCCATTTTAAATAAAATAATGCTCAGAAAGTAACATAATTTAGACACTTTATTTGGGCTGGTATATGTCTCTGCAATATGTGGATATCCAACTACATCTAATGTGATATTTTTTTCAAATAATATTTCCAAAACATATTAGTAGCAGTCTCTTCTGCTAAACCAAATTGGTGCTCCAAGACAAAAATTATGATTACATGTAGATATAAGACAAGTTTTAATATTGATCCTTATTTTCCTTATCAGTTTTGAACTTCACAATGCAGGTGGCATCATCCATTTTGGACTGCTTTTATGTAAAATGAGAGCAAGGGAGTGATGCTAATATTAGCCATTAGTCTTGTCCATGGTCTGTTATCTGTTTGCACTGGATATGTAGGTTAAAAAAATATTTACTTCTAAACTTAGAAAAGAGTGACTGGAACCAGTTGGTACAGCTCCATGCATGCAAATTATGATATCATCACCCACTGCCTTTTATCTCTAATTAAAAGCTTCCTTTCCACCTTTCTCCAGTTCCAACATTCTTTCATCCTAGAGAAGTCGGGGGGGGCAGCTCAAGATGGGTGTGGGTGAAGTCTTTAAGGTCCAAAAAATAGTTGCCGCTGATACTGAGGCCCTCAAAGGCTTCCTTAGGATAAAGGGGATTTCTAGGGCATACTGGAAACTGATGAGAGAGTGAAAGTAAATGTTTAATTAAAGATAAAAGGCAATGGCTGACAACATCATGAGCCTTGTGCTTGCAGACCTGCACCAGCAGGATTCTAGACATTAACTTAAATATGTTCCTGCAGAATTGAGATGGAAATTCAAGATGATAGAATTTTTACTGATTGTTATACATGAAACAAAGTTGGCTGGATAGCCCAGTGGTTCCCCACTGTGCATCCCAGAAGGAGAGCCAGCCCATGTGCAGAGTCCCAGGACACCCCTAGGAGAAGGGAATGATAAACCGCTTTGGAGCATTCTCTACTTGGAAAGCTCTGAAAACAGTTGCCATGAGTCAGAATTGACAGCACATGATGATTATTGTAATAGGAGAAGCAAGGAAGAATAATGGGCTGATTTATATAAAACATTTTATTCTCATCTTTAGCCAAGAAGACTACTCAAATTATCTGATCATCTCAGGCTTACTGTCTGAAAGAGATGACATTCAAGGAAGAGGGGGGGAGATGAGAGCTATTTCTTAAAGGCATAGTTCTTACCTTGACTTGCTGGGATTGAAGGGGTTTGATGAAATGGTTGCTTCTAAGGGATAAGTTCTGTTCAGCATCCTGTTGGAATGAGTGCTGCTGTGGGTAATTTGGATAGCTGTTCACACTTCTTGTACAGTGTTGAAAGATGCTCATAAGCTTGCCACAATAGGAAAAAAAATTGGTTCAATCTATGCAATGCTAGTAAGGCATTTACTGTGTTTTTGCGCAGTGAAGTATTTCGTACTTTATCCCACAAGCATGAACCTTTTTGATCTCAACAGTAGTGCCCAGCTTGGCCATTGGGAAGCACAGTCCTTGGCCAGTGAACTGTGATTCTCCTCTAGGGAGGAACAGGATGCTTGTCTTGGGCCTTCAGCATTACAGGTTACCCACTTGCACATTTGGGAAAAAGTTCCGACATGTTGAACTGATGCATGTTTCACATTTGATGCACACATCTTGAGGGAGGTACATTTTGAACAATTTTGAAGTACAGTAGGATCCCTGGATCCGCGGGAGATTGGTTCCAAGCCGCCTTGTAGATGCTGAAAAACGCAGATTATAGCAAACAGTAATTTTATAATGAACATTATACGTGGCATGGTCTCTGGCTCCCTCTCATGGCCAGTTCTGGTCACTTCATCTTTAGAAATACCGGTATATATTTCTATGGTTTTTCTTTTAATATTTCATACTGCCAATCAGTGAGTCAGTGAGTACTGATCCTGCAGAAGCAAGGGTCCTGCTGTACACACTTTAACAAGTGTTACTTGTATAAAACACTCATGCACTTGAATTTATTCACTGTTCTACAATACTTTCAATAATCCTGATAAAGATAGTACTGTCTGTGGATTCTGTAATGTCCTAAAACTTATTTTATATATTATTATAGGCCGTTTATTGAGAGCTAACCAGATCACTTTCAACTGGGATAGATTGGCTAGTTGGATAAATCTGACAGAGCAATGGCCATACAGGACATCGTGGATCATACTCTATTTGGAAGAAACAGATGGAGTAGCAGATCAATTAACCTTAAAAACTATCTATGACAGGTTGGTATAGCTTTGATTATGCAAAGCATATATAGGGTGATGACAGTTCGCAACAAAACAAAAGGAACTAGTACATCCATGGAAGTTCAAGATTATAAATGAGAGACGAAGTTCTCAGGATGTAGAAAATAGAATCAAGCTCTTTATTCTGTATTCTTTAAATGGGTTGTTAAAAAGCTCTGGCTCAGTGCATTTTGTCAAAGCCTTGTTTAGGAGCTCAGCATAACACAAAAACACACATGAGACATCAAATAATTCACATTTTCTTTCTGTGTGTGTGTGGGTCTCTCAACTTTACATAAATACATGCATTTATACTAAGCACATAAGGCATAATAAAATATATTAGACAGAATATCAAACACATACCAAGCTTCTTTATACTCTCTGCAGCTTTCCTTGTTCTATACCAGCTCCAAAATTATTGAAAGTGTTTGAAAGTGCAAGCACTGAGAAAGGTGGCATTTGTACACAGCTGTACGTGGAGATGAGGGTGGCAAGATAACCAGCCCAGCACTGTTATCATAATAAAGGGAGAAAGTCTGTTTCTTTGTTTAACCCACGAGGTACTAGGGTGTTCAGTTTCAAGATCCAGTCAACAACAGTTCAAAACCCAAAACGTATTAATGTTTAGTGTGATATGATCTGAAATTTCTGAGTGGTAGATACTTTTAAGTCCTCTTGCTGCCAAATGGTTTTGATCAACAGATTCCTCTTCTCTCCTACATGTCTTCAAGGATCTCTCCAGAGCATTGAGAAACCCTCAGAGTAGATTTAGCAGTACAGAGGGCATGAGACAAGTGGAAATTCTTGTTGTGAGAGTTTTAAGTCTGAGATATTGAACTGACACTGAGTTCAAAAACCTGTTTGTTTGAGATAGAAAAACAAACCTGTAATTAAATTGAACATCTGCTTATGTACATAAACTCAGTTTAAAAAAGGAAAAACACTGCAACTTTGGCATGTATTATAACTGATCCTGCACCTGTTTGCAGCTAACATGCAGTAAGTAGATTATTGCAACCATGTAGTTTCAGCCTATGGTGATTTTCCTAACCCCTAGAACTAATTTAACAAACTTCCACCAATTCAGAAGCATAATTCGTATTACTCGATTTTTAACTCATGCTTTTATGCATTAATTGTGTTATCACAGTTCACCAGCCAAAATAGCAAAGTTACTTTTAGGGTCCATATGAAATGTTCCTCCAGATTTGCTACTCCAGTCACAAGTGGTGAATTTAGTGTGTCCCCCTAATCGTTTCAGAGGAGATTTCATGTTCTGAACTGTTTCAGCTCCACAACCACACTTAACAATTCTGTGTTCTTAGTTTACTCTTCCCTAGCCTTGCGCCCGTCATATGTGTTTGACTACATCCCCCATTAATTGTAGTCACCATGGTAACCATGTTGGTTGGGAATGGTTGGATCTGTCATCCAACACATTGGGGTTGGTGCTAGTTTAGGAATGGCTGGTCTAGGTGCTGCATAATGCTGCTGACTTGAAAAAGGAGTGTTTGGGTGAGATTGTGTTAAGAGAGTGCAGATAGTAATCTTGATACCCAGCCTACATTCTCTGAACCAACCTTTTTCAAAGTAAGCCCCTTCCCTGGAGTAAGAATACACAAGTAAGTGGTGGTAGCATAGGAACCCTGTAGCCTGGCTTAGAGGAAGGGTTTTGTAATATCAGTTTGAAGAATTTTGTTTAAAAAGCTTATTCAGACTTCTTTAGATGTTCCTGTTAGCTGCTAGTTGTATTAATAATGTATACGAATTTACACCTACGTACCCCATCTCTGATGTTGTGAGGGATGAGGGTGGACCAGGTTTTTTTTTAAATCATCAAATATTTTTAAAAAAATAGATCTTAAGTGGGCATAAGGGAACCATGGAGTATTCTTTTCTCTTCAGTCAGCCTTTTCAGTCCCTTACACGGAATCCCAAGCACTCCAGGAAGGATAAGAAGGTCGACAGGAGGCCTGAAGGAAGAACTGGGTGAAAGATATCACAGCTACAAACTATTGAAGACAAGGATTGGTCTCCACATTGTAATCTTTCCAAGGTCTTAATAATAATTACATGTCATCAAGTCAATTCCTACTTACAGCAACCCTTTCCAGGGTTTTATAGGTAACGAGTACTCTGGAGTACTCTTTTAATACTGTTAAGTCATGTGCAGAGTTCACTAAAGTTGCTTCCCAGCTTTTAACTTACATTGCTGAGACCACCTTGGTTGTCTTGAGGGGAACTGCTAGAATACATTGGCATCAGTATTTGCTTTTTCTGTTCAGAAGTAAGTCCTGTGCAGAGTGTGGTGGCAGATGAGAGCGACAGAAGGTGATCTGAAGTATTTTGTTAACACATCTTTGTTTGGCCAGTAGATGGCACTAACATAACTTGGTGAAGAGGCAGAGTTGTGACACTGGCATGCATTCTCTTCATCTTTAGTAGGGTTTCTGTTGTTTGTTTTCCCTTACGGAACTTTAATTTTTAAAGAAGTGATTTTCAATGAAGTGATACTTGTATGCCTTTTCTAGTAGGGTATGAATGATACTAAAAATCTGGTAAGACTTGTTGGTGGGAAATTATCCTTACTGCAGACACAGTCCTCATACCTAACAAAATATGGATTGCAGATCAGACGTCAAATACTAATCAGATTTTGCGAAGGCTTTCACGGCTGGGATCTAATGGTTGTTGTGGGTTTTTCGGGCTCTTTGGCAGTGTTCTGAAGTTTGTTCTTCCTAACGTTTCGCCAGTCTCTGTGGCCGGCATCTTCAGAGGACAGCACTCTGTGCTCTGGTGTAGTTGGCTTAGGAGTGGAGTATTTATGGCTGTGAGATGGGCTTTTGTCTTTTTCTGTAGATGGGTGATTAGTGTATCTTGTTGTGGGTTTATTGTTGTGATAAGAAGGAGAGATTATCTGTCACTGTGGTTGATGGGTGTCATTAGCTGGTCTTTTGTGTGTAGTGATCCCCGGTCCTTGTGGCTGGGTAGAGTTCATTGACCTTTTGCACGCTGTATTTTTGAGAGCTGGGAGTCACGTTTTGTTGAGTTTCAAACTTTCCTCTTTTTTGTTGAAGTTCTGCTGGCGCTCGTGGATTTCAATGGCTTCCCTGTGCAGTCTGATGTAATGATTGCTGGTGTTGTCCAGTATTTCGGTATTTTGAAATAGAATTTTATGTCCAGTTTGTTTTAGGGCATGTTCTGCTATTGCAGATTTTTCTGGTTTGTTAGGAAGAACAAACTTCAGAACATGGCCAAAGAGCCCGAAAAACCCACAACAACCACTAATCAGATTTATTTGTATTTCTGCTTTATGAGCCTCTTTGAAATGATGGTTTGAACCCTTGGTTTTGACAAAGTAACCATGTTGCACAGGGATTACAAAAAACAAGATCATGCTAGAAAAAAGCACACTGACAATTTCTCTGTCCAAAGAGATGTTCTGACATTGCCCTGGTGTAGGCAATAGCATTTTTGAGCCAAAACAGTACGGCTGCTTCTTGGTGAGAATGTCCACTGAGTAGCATGATGTCTCAGAATTGGATTATGGCCATCTTGCTACCCCAGTGCTCTGGATAAAACATTTTGTTGGACAGATTCCAATGCTGTCCAACAAAAATTGTCTGCATTCCCATGCAGGCTGAAGCAGCAAATCTGTTCTCTGCTTTGTTCTGCCTTGAAGATGCCACGTAACCAGGTCAGAGGGTGTGGTGTTACTCTTGCTGGTGTCGCACCACCACCAGTGGTGAACCACGCTGAACAAGGTGAGCAACAGATTGGGTGCAAGGACTGCATTGGCCTTTCTGGGCGTGCTGCTCCTTTAGTGCAGATGCTTGCATAAGGCCATTTGGTGCTGCTCTCAAGTTGCTGTTTACGTAGACTGTTTTAGGTTCTGCCGTGGTTTTACACAATTGTTATGGCCTATGGATCGTATACTAAAATGGCTTTTTAATGTTGATGATGTGGCTTGTTCTTGATCGGTGCAAGGACTGCATTGGCCTTTCTGGGCGTGCTGCTCCTTTAGTGCAGATGCTTGCATAAGGCCATTTGGTGCTGCTCTCAAGTTGCTGTTTACGTAGACTGTTTTAGGTTCTGCCGTGGTTTTACACAATTGTTATGGCCTATGGATCGTATACTAAAATGGCTTTTTAATGTTGATGATGTGGCTTGTTCTTTATCGTATTTTTCCATGTATACAACCCCCCCCCCAATTTTGACCTTTGCTGGAGGCGGAGGAGCAGTTAATGGGCAACTGCTCCTCCACCTCCATCTCTCCTGCTGCTCCTGCCTCCATTGCCCGCCTGATCACCTCTTTCAGTGTGACTGTTTTGCCTCTGCCTCCTGCTGTCTCCGCCCCAGGAGGGGACAAGGCGGACATGAGCTGGAGGTGAGCCCCGTCAGTCCCACTGGAGGAGGTGATTGGGCGAGTGGGGGAGGAAGCAGCAAGAGGCGCCCGAGCATGTGTGAATGCTCCTTTGCCTCCTCCTACTTCTTCTGCTGCTGCCTCCTCCACCAGAGGGGACAAGCCGTGAGTCCTGGAGGAGGCAATTGGGCGGCGGCAGCAAGAGGTGCCCGACTGCTCCCTTGCCTCTATGTCCTTCCATGTATAAAATGACCCTCACTTTTTCCTCTAATAATTTTAGGGGGAAAATGCATTTTATACACAGAAAAATATGGTAAATTGTTTTGCTTTGCATTTTGATTATTTCATGTCAGTGGCCTTGTGAGGACTATGTCCTGAAAGGTTGCTTGAAATGCTTATGTAAGTGGCTGGATATCTCAGTGGCTTTGATATCTGGCTGAAGAGCCAGAAGTTGAGACTTCAGTTCCCCACTGTGCCTCCTTGAAAAGGGCTGGACCCAATGATCCATTGGATCATCGGATCCATCTTAGAACTTCTAGCCCTGAAGTTCTAAGATGATGATGATGGTGGTGATGATTAAAGCCAAAATAAGTAAATAAATCAATAATATTTATCATTTCTAATGACATTG